CGCTGCAGTTGCCCTGATGGGCTTCCTGCTCTTGTTTTCAGCCTTCCCACCCCCAAGACATGAATCACAGAATTGAGAGTTGCTTCTTCTTTCCACCTTCTCTGTATGCCCATTGCTCTAACTATTCTGTGGTCTTCATTAGTGTCCTTCCTTCTTCGTGGTCCCATCCTTTAAAAAAAAATTGTAGCTTTTGAACAGGATGTTGGAGGAGTTCCAGTTATATTAGGAACCTCTTATTAGTACAGTAGGGGAATAGTACATTACAGGGGTCTTAGGAAAGCTGGGGAGGGACTTGGGATAAGGGCAGGGAGGGATGGGATGAGGGGGGACAGATTAAAACTGGGAGAGGGAGATTGAGGTGAGACATGAGGAGGAAATTCTTTGCTGTGAGGGTGGTGAGACTCTGGCCCAGGTTGCCCAGGGAAGCTGTGGCTGGCCCATCCCTGGGAGGGTTTGAGGGCAGGTTGGATGGGGCTTGGAGCAGCCTGGGCTGGTGGGAGGTGTCCCTGCCCATGCAGGTGGTTGGAACCTGATGGTCTTTAGGGTCCCCTCCAACCCAAACCATTGTATGATTATTGTGTTCTGTAATGAACACAGTGAACTTTTGGCTCTTCTCTCTCCTTTTAATGAAAAGGCAGGAGGGAAGGAAAGACAACTCCTGTGCTCTAAGACCACCTTGCTGACTTGACTTTGTGTAAAGTGGTGGCAGAGGTGGCACTTCTGCAGCCTGGGGCTTGTGTCCTTGGTGTCGTTGTTCTGCTGATCCACTCTGAGGGAAAGGCTCAGTGTGGTCCTGGAACTGCTTTTGACCACCTTGTCCTTCTGCACTGGCTGTGCTTGCACCAGTGCTGTTTCCCTTGGAGCTGGACTGGTGTATTGCAGCAGTTGGGCATTCTAGGAAAACATGGGATCACAATAGAAAGGGAAGCAAGAGTGACTGACAGGAAACAACACTGAATGTTTCCGGTCCTGTGCTAATGAAACTAACCAAGTGGAAAATACTTGCTAATCTGAGAGTTCCCTGATAGAAACGTGCAGTCTGGCCTTCATTTTCCAGAAAGGTAAAGATGGCTCTAATGTCACTCTCCATTCTCAAGCTCTTATCAGCTTGGATGTTTGGATGAGGCTTTCCTATTTAGATTCTGCCTCCTACTTTCAGATGCCAAATAATTCCTTTATCAGTGGTTCTGCTGTTCTTAGCTTTGCTGTTGCTCCTTTCTTAGAACAATACTGGTAAGTTTTGGGTTTCTATGTGGTGGCATTGCTCATATTATTGCTTTTGAAGGCAAGGGAATCACCAATGCACCATCCAAAACAAAGTCAACATTTGAGTTCTGCCTGGATCTGCTGTTGGAGCTGAAGTCCTCTTTGTGCCACAGCTCTGTGGTGTGGAGCTTGGACTGATGTTCTACAGCAGCTTTCCAAGTCATGCAGTGGTTTTTTTTTTTCCTCACTCTCTTAATGTCTCCAGTCAGTGGCCTCCATTTTGCCCTACACATCTGGATGAAGTTCCCGTTTTAGCTCAAGTCTATGTACTTAGCTCTGTTCTTCTGATTTTAGTTTTTCATAACAATATGATTGGAAAAGCTGACACTACTTCCCACTTCTATCACTGCAGAGGTTTTTTTCCTGTCTGTTTGTTCCCTTGCAGCCTTTCAGATGTCTGCAGGGTTTAGCATTCCAGGAAAAACTGTCATCTTTACAGTTGTGATATGCAAAGTATGACAGATAAATAGAGGCTTCTGCCTGTATGTTGCCTTATAAATACTGGGCTTTAATTATATGAAATTAACAAAAAGGCATCTTATTCACTGGTTGGATTCTTAATAACTTTTTAAACCCCTTAAGATGAACAAAAGAGCCAGAGTTCACATAGACAACAGACTTCTACTGAACTTTCTAAAATTCTCCAGCTCAAACATAAAGCCCTGTATCCCATGTACTGAGAAACATCCTGGAAGTTTTCCAAACATTTCTGAAAAACATCTTGGAAAACCAAGCATATACTTTCCTTGGAATGTAGCTGTTCAAGGTGATCATCAGCTGTGACCCACTTGAACTCAGGGCTGCTGTTATGGCTGCAAAGGTTCAATACCAAGGCTTGATTCCTTGATGGGCAGGGTTTGCTTAACTAGTAGATGTGGCCCAGCTTGTCACAGAGACCTCTCCCCTCTGCCCACCCTGAACAAGTCTTAAATCATGATAGAAGCTGCTTACCAAGTCAATAGGCTGTAAAGCTTTGAAAATAATTTCCCAGGCTCCATAACTGTCAGAAGGGAAGACCCATCTTTTAAGACCTCTTTGGTTTAGTTAGGAAGTGACACTTGGACAATGCATGAGATTTTCTGGATAGAAGATGGACCTGATTCTGCTTTCACTTTGCTATGTTCTCCAAGGGTGCTTTGCTGCAGAGCTGTGGCTGGTATAGTAGTTTTGGAATTCCCTGTTCGCTTTGCATTTGCAAATTAAGGAGGATTTCAAATGAGTGACCAGGACCTGGAGGTTTCTCTGATATCCAAGGGTGCTAGACTTGATCTTTTAAACATTTCAAGCCTCCTGTCCACGTTTGTTTGTAGCCCCCAGAGCAGGTACTGCAAACAACATATCTCAGCTGCTTTGCACACCCCTGAGGAGGCTTATTTGGTTCTAAGTTGACAGGTTCCATCTCAGATTTGAAAGCTACCATAGGAAGGAAACTAAAATTTCTTTTGGATGGTATTTGTGGTTGTTCTGTGTTGTCTGACTCTGAGGCTTTTGGGATTAATTGGGTTTTACTGGATAAATGCCCCCAAAGTTTTTGCTTCAGACAATAATTCTGGTGTGATTTACCAGTTGTCATGTGCTGCTAAAGCTGTGTAGATGCACTGAACTTCTGCTGGAACAGACTGAATGCTTGGATATACTGCTCTGTATAGAGACATTGATGTTTCTCTCCAAAACTTGCTTCTTAAAAGATGCACAAGGAATCTTCTTTGGTAGTTTGAGGCTCAGTTGTTTAGACATCTAGATATCTGTTCTCAGAGAAAATAAATACTGCATAGATCTGACTCCCTGCCACCTTCCTTTTCTCTTCCAGCTCTTCTAGGTGTTTGTGTACAAGGATCCAGTCTTCAGTGTTCATCTGTTGGAGACATTATTCCAACTTGTATCTTTTGGGTTCCAGAATGACAGTTGGTACAAAACAGGAACACCAGTAGCTGACTTTTCTGCTTTCACTGGGTCTCTGCTCAGCAACAGTTGTTATTTGAGCCAGTATGTAGTGTGACTTTTATAATGTGGCTGTGGTACAGCCAAAAATCACTTGTGTCCCCTCTCAGCCTTTGGCAAAATTGCTTCTGGCAACTTGCTCCTATTGGGGCAGTCAAGTGACATTTATTTCACCCCCACACACACCCCTTTGTTTTGTGAGCACATTGAGTTACATCCCTGTAAACAAATGATTTTTAATGGCACAACTTGGATTGTGATTTGTGACTTGGTCAAGGAAGAGCTGCTTCTGAGAGCAAGAGAAAAGGAAACTCTGGGGCTCAGACTTGGGGATATTCTGAAAGATTTTAGAACTTTCCTGCAGGGCACAAAAAAATGTTACAGCCTTGGAGCTTCTCAAGGTAAAAGGGAGTAATCAAGTCAGGCAGAGTGTGGCTAAACTTTATCTAGAGTGTGGAATGCAACCAGAAAGAAATAACATGTTTGAATTATAATAATCAAATTAAAAGGATTTGGTTTTCTATACTTTCACATGGGATTAAAATTGCCTCTTGACTTTGTTGGAACCTACTGGTACGAGATTTTCTGTGTAATATTCTATATAGTAATTGGAAGGTCTGGTGTGTACAGTTCATGACAACTGTGCAGGCTTCTCGTGAAGAGAACTCACACATTTTTCACACCCTGAGTTTGTCAAGTTTGTGTTGGAAGAAGCAGCATATGGTGCATGTAAATCTGCTGGTGGGGTTGTGTTTCTTCAGATTAAATTGACGCTTGCCTTTCCTGCTGGGAATAGCATCACAGGGCACCGTTTCTTTAGCTCTTGTTTGTTTGAGTTTTGGAGTGTCTGATATTGTATCAGAAGCTATTTCTGTTGATGTAGCACCTCTCCTGTGAGGACAGGCTGGGAGAGTTGGGGTGTTCAACCTGGAGAAGAGAAGGCTCCAGGGAAACATTAGAGCACCTTCCAGTGCCTGAAGGGGCTCCAGGAAAGCTGGGGAGGGACTTGGGACAAGGGCAGAGAGGGAGAGGACAAGGAGGAATGGATTAAAACTGGAGAGGGGGAATGCTTACAAGCTGGAAGAGGGGAGATTGAGATGAGATCTGAGGAGGAAATTCTTTGCTGTGAGGGTGGTGAGAGCCTGGCCCAGGTTGCCCAGAGAAGCTGTGGCTGCCCCATCCCTGGGGGTGTTGAAGGGCAGGTTGGATGGGGCTTGGAGCAGCCTGGGCTGGTGGGAGGTGTCCCTGCCCATGCAGGGGGTTGGAACTACAGGATCTTTAAGGTCCCTTCCAACCCAAACCATTCTATGATTTATGTATAATGCTATTTAAATGAGTTGGGCACCAAGTTTTTTCCTGCCTCTCCTGTAAAGAGCACATATACTCTGGGAGCCATCTGAGGAGGAGTCTGTTCTTACCTTTCCTCGGTGTGCCATTGTTGGGTGGTAGTTTGCAGTTCCATTTGCAGTTATGCACCAGGCTAAATCTCAGTAACCAGTGGAAACACTTAGTGTTATTTCAGTGCATGTTGGGTGAGGTTTGTAACTGGTTGTGTGTGGTAACTGGTGAGCAACATCCTTGGGTTGGTTCATGACTTGGGTGCAAAGCTTTTTCAGTCTCCTTACAAGTAGTTGAAACAACTAGAAATTGGCTTGCATGTTTCTTCTTCTCCATTCTTCTTATGACTGCAGCAAACCACAATTAAAACTTTTTGGCCGGAAGAGCTAATCAGCTTTGTGTTTTTTAAAGCTTCTCTCTAAATTTAGACCATTTTCTGTCTTGCAGGCTGCTATATGGCAAGCACTTAACCACTATGCTTATCGGGATGCAGTGTTCCTTGCAGAACGATTATATGCAGAAGGTATGTACTTTGCAAATATCCAATTGGTGCTTTTTTTTTTTCAATTTTGATTTGAGATTTTTTTTTTTTACCTTCTAGTCCTGCTTTGATTTACTCTTGTTGTTGTGATAATGAAGTTTAACTTTCTGCTCGGGGGAAAGCGGAAGAATGCCTCGCAATTAGGCTGGAAAATCAAATCATGTAACAGCAGCAATGTTGGTTTACAGTAAAACCTCCTTGAAAAAATAACCTCAGAGTTGTTTGTTTAAATCTAGAGGGTTGTTTTAGGTGAGGCATCAGGAAGAAATTCTTCACCATGAGGGTAGGAGGGCACTAGAATAGGTTGCCCAGGGTGGTTGTGGCTGCCCCTTCCCTAGAAGTGTTCAAGGGCAGGTTGGATGAGGCTTGTGCAGCCTGGTCTGGTGGGAGGTGTCTCTGCTCATGGCAGGGAGGTTGGAACCTGATCATCTTTAAGGTCCCTTCCAACCCAAACCATTCTAGGATTCTGTGATGTTTACAATGACCTTTTGTATGCTATCAAATGGGAGAAAGCTTTTTAATAACCTTAAGCATTGCACATTGTTCCAAAGGTACTTGAGGGCAGGTGCAGTGCACAAATTCTAGAAACTGTCTTGATCTTGAAAGCTGTCAGTTAATAATCCTGTTTGCAGATCTTGGTTTGTGGGTTAACTGAAAGAGAGAGTCTTGTGATAAGAGAAACTTGTAGTAAAATGGAGACAAGGAGCATCAGAAGGTGTGGAATAGGTATCTCCTGTTGGATTCTTCTTAACTTCATTGGAATGCTGTCAGGTCTAGGATACCTTGGATATTGAGGAGGCAGCACTAACACAAATCCACACTTTTCCTGGGTGCTTCAAAGACAGTTTCCTTCTTGCATTCTGGTCCTTCTTCCTTAGTCTTTCTTCCATGGCCTCAGATAGGCTCTTTGTTCTTTTTTTGCTTTTCTCCTCAATACTGGTGGTGATAAATTTTCTTCTCTTGTGAAAGGTATTGTCCCCTGGTCACTAACATGAAAAAGAACACTACTCAAGCTAAAATATAAGCGTAATATAATTTCTCATGCTAAACAACCTCACTTTATAATGTGACTTAAACTGGATAACCTGCTTTTTGTGCTCTGTGTTTGTAATGAAATGTTTTGCTTTCAGTGTTTTGCCTGATGTGCCCACAGTGCACTTCTTGACACTGGAAGCACAGAACTAATTTTTGAGAAATAGAGGCTTTTTTCCCCTCATATCAAGGTTACCTATGAAATCTGGAATCTTCCTTCACGTGCTTAAAAAAGGAGTGTTGTGTAGATGATTATGGAACCTTACAATCTAGATATGCATAAAAGAAACAGTGTTTTAGGGATGATATCTCAGCTGAACACAGCACATTCTGAGATGCAGGGAATTGCTGGATTGAAGGTAATTGCCCTGGATGAAGAAAGGAAGAAAATCCACTTTTTGCAGCAGCCAGGAGAAAAATATTACAATGCTGGTGTTATCTTTGTAGAATAATACTCTGCAAGGGTACTTCAAACAGCTTTTTTTCAGTGGCTAGCAGTGCTGAGAGAACAGCATGCATGCTGTCACTTGGTTCAAGCAATTAACTGCTAACAAAACATCTGGCTTTTGGTTAAAATAAGTAGTTATTCTGCAGGGCAGAAACTGCTGAACTTGAATACCCTGGCTCTGTGTTGTCAGTAGGGATTTTACTCTGAGAAGTTCTTTTTTAAGTTCAACTGCAATTACTGCTCTTGTGGGGACGTGTGTGGTTTGGTAGTTACCCAGAACTCTTGAAATGTGTTAAATTAGTGGAGGAAAGAATTTATTTAACTTGAATTTTCTAAAAGATCCTCTGATGTTTTTAGCATAAGGCTAATAAAATGTCCTTCTCTCTTTGGGTCTTCCCTTTGCCATTTTCACTGTCTGAGTGATGACACAAAATAGTCAGGTTTGGGTTAGCAAAGAATCTGAGCAGGTTGCCCAAAGAGAATTTTGGATGATGCCCATATTGATTTTTCTGAAAAGTTCAATGTAAATAGATGAACAAACATCAGAATTGTCTCTTTTAATGCTGAATTCCATCTGCATGGTAGTGTGTTCTGAAAATGAAAGTGTAATTCTTAATTGTTTGGAGACTGGAGTTGCTTGCCTTTCTAGACAACCTTTCTTTGATGTAAAATACAGAGTTGTGTAAGGGTGATCTGAGTGTAACATTTGAGGAAGTAATAATAGGGAAAGCTTGTCACTGGGTATCTTCTTTTTTTGCTTAAAAACTCAAAAATGGGGTTAAAATGAAGTCATACAGTTATTTCACACAAACATAATGCTCAAATTAACACCACAGCATTTGAATGCTCACCAGTGTCTCACAAAAGTGCATTTTCTAGTGTTTAGAACTTTAGCTGATAATTCTACAGTAAGGTTTTAATTTCCTTCAGGGCTTGGCTCTGTCTTTTATGCTGTAATCACAAGTAAAATTGACAATTCTGACCTCAGTCTTAAATCTGGGTGCCAAGTCAAGCTCTTTGAATAGTACATTCTTGGCATGGTACATAATTAATCTCTGCAGTGGAAGAAGTGTTGAAGCACACATAGAATCTAAATACTTCCAGTTTCTGCTGTAGAGAAATGTTTGTCTTGATTACTCTTGTTCTCTGCTTAGACTTGGCTACTTCATTCAGAATTTAGAAACCTGTGAGAACTCTGCTTGGGGACAGGATTTCATAGAATCATAGAATGGTTTGGGTTGGAAGGGGCCTTAAAGATGATCATGCAGATCCAACCCCCCGGCATGGGCATGGACACCTCCCACCAGCCCAGCCTGCTCCAAGCCCCATCCAACCTGCCCTTCAACACTGCCAGGGATGGGGCAGCCACAGCTTCCCTGGGCAACCTGGGCCAGGCTCTCACCACCCTCACACTAAAGAATTTCCTCCTCATGTCTCACCTCAATCTCCCTCTCCCAGTTTTAATCCATTCCCCCTCATCCCATCCCTCTTATCCCTTGTCCAAAGTCTCTCCCCAGCTTTCCTGGAGCCCCCTCAGACCATGGAAGGTGCTCTAAGGTCCCCCCATCACTACTTCTTAATATAAAATAACACATCTGAATGGTAACTTCAATTTCTCTAAAGAAATTGTCTGTGTAGGCAGTGAAAAGGACAAGAATTAATTTTGGGGTAGAGGTGACCGGTAATTGATTCATTAAAATCAGAAAATCTGCTCCACCAAGTCATGTCAAGATAACTGTTAGAAAAATAACAGAAGTGAAATTGCAAACAGCAAAAGGAAAGTTGAAATTGGAATTAAAATTATTATTTAGGCTGAAATTATTCTTCCTACAGGAAGTTCCTATACTTCCTGATGGCTATTACTGGGCCAGTGGTCATGTAGTGGTGTGAGGAGTGACTTGCAGGGGTGACAGTACTGAGCCACATCTTGGGGTGACCAACAAGTTGTTAAAATAGTTCTGTGCTGCTGGAGATGACTGATTCACTTGTCTTGCTGTTATTTTGACAACAAGCTGGCTAATCACTTCTTCAGATTGGGTAGCCAGAAGGATCAAAGTTCTTTTACAGCAGTAGGTGCCAAGAGCTGGTCTGACCCTACAATAAACTGACACATGGAAGTTTGTTATAGGCTGACAAATAAAGAAATGCACTTTTTTCAGTAATTAACTTCTCTAATACCAATGCTTGGTTTCTTGTGTCTTGTTCCTAGCTGCCTTCTACTCCCTGTTCCCAAATTCCTTCTATCAAAATGGTAAACTGATGATTTCTTTGTCATTTTGGTTTTTAGTACATTCAGAAGAAGCCCTGTTTTTACTGGCAACGTGTTACTACCGCTCAGGAAAGGCCTACAAAGCTTACAGGCTCCTCAAGGGACACAGCTGCACTACCCCCCAGTGTAAATACCTGCTTGCAAAATGCTGTGTTGACCTCAGCAAGTAAGTAAACCCTTTGTTCTGTCAAGGATTACAAATGTGTTCATTTTTTTTAGAACCTGTCATATTGCACAAGCTGGGAATTCCTTGGTCCTTCAGCTCTAAAGATTCTTTTCAGTTCAGTTAATTTTGTTTTCAGATCTAGACCTAATGAGCAGGAGCCCATATTGCAGAAACCTCTAAAAAGCATTGAGTAACTTCCAAAGGAGTTGTCAGGCTTGTGTAGGGGGAGAAAGATCTGACTCCTGAAATGACACAAGGAGAACAGCCTGGGAAGTGTTTCTTTTGGGTTTCTCTGATACTTTGGTTATTCCATGCAGTGTTTCCAATATGAATTTAATGGCCATGGAACCAAAATGCAGATCTCTGGAGACAGGAGGAAAAGCTCCTTAGTCTTTGATACCCTCTTTAGTAGGCAAGTCCTGTGACATCTTTAGAGTAGCAAGGATGTCTTAGCTTGTTTTGACACTCTTTTTTGGAGCTATTAGGATACAGGTTTCTTTGCATCTCCTGTTGAAAAGGAAATCATGTTAATGTTCTACTTGGAAAGGTCCCAGTGGAATAAATTGGAAGCTGATCATTCCCTCCCTTGCTCTTACAAAGTCTGCTGTGTGCATGTAGTACATCAGCTTCTGAACTGATTTCAGTTAGGTGAGATTTTAAAAATCTACTCTTTAGAATGTGTTTAACTGTCATTTTTGTTACAGTTATATGATGAGTTATATATCATTTATACTGATGTACCTTATTTTCTTGTGGGAATGGTCTAAACTGATAGAAGCATCCATCTACAACTCTAATTTCAAGTGGAGGCAAGAAGAGATGATTTGTTTGTGCAGATGTTGGTCTTAAATGCCAGAGGAATGCATCCCATCCCAGAAGTTGTGTAAAGCCATTTTCAAGCCTAATAGTGAGTGGCCCATTCCATGTGATTCCTCTTTTGAGCCCCTCTTGAAATAAAACAAGGTGTTAAAATTCCAAATCTGTGCCAAGTCCCAGGACTGGATCTTAACCAAGTGCCTGGAGTCTTACAGATCTCTTTCTTAGTAGGGCAGCAAAGCCAAAGAAGGGCTCTCTTAGCTTGTTAATAGGTAAAGTCTGTCCCGAGCTGATGCCAGGGGGTTACCAGCAGTCAGGATGCTTCTGTGCTTCCCCCCTCCAGTGTGGAGGGCTTTTGGAATGAGACCAAGGGCTCACACCTTGGGTTTGCCTCTTGCAGAGGAACAGTCCCTGTGGGACCTTATTTTAGAGTGGGAATTAGAGCACCAAGCTCACCAGTTGTTACTGAGACCAGTGTTTGGTTTACGAATTAACCAGTTTATTAAGGGCTCACATAAACTGAGGGACCAACGTTCAGGAGGGGTAGACTAGGTTTATATTGGGGAAATAATTCAAAAGCACTATGGTCTTAATAAATACACACTCTGAGGGAAAGGGGTGGAATCAGTGGGGTAAAAGGGTAGGAGTGCAGGAAAGTTAGTGTCTGTGTGTGTGTGTGTTTACCCTTCCACAGCCTGTGGCTCCTGGGATGTGGGTTCCTTCTGCATGACAGGGCTCAGCAGCAGGTCCGTAGGGGCCTTCCCGGTACCAAGGGCATCAGGTTGGGGTGGGCTCAGGCGGGGCAGCTCCAGCCAGGCAGGCTCCGGTAGCAGCGCTCCCTGGGGGCGGGAACGGGTGCCCCTCCTCGGCTTCTCCGGGCAGTGGTGCTGCTGTTCCAGGAGGCTTCAGGTGCTGCAGCAGGGTCTCCTCCAGGTTCCCATGGCTTCAGGTGCTGCAGCAGGGTCTCCTCCAGGTTCCTATGGTTTCTGGTACTGCAGCAGGGTCTCCTCCAGGTTCCCATGGCAGGGAGGGATGGGATGAGGGGGAATAGATAACTGGAAGAGGGGAGATTTAGGTGAGACATCAGGAAGAAATTCTTCACCATGAGGGCAGTAAGGCACTGGAAGAGGTTGCCCAGGGAAGCTGTGGCTGCCCCATCACTGACAGTGTTGAAGGGCAGGTTGGATGGGGCTTGGAGCAGTTTGGGCTGGTGGGAGGTGTCCCTGCCCATGCAGGGGGGTTGGATCTACATGATGGATCTACATGATGTTGAAGGTCCCTTCCAACCCAAACCAGCCTGTTATTCAATGATTAGGTGCTTCTGGAAAAGGCCTGTTGTGTTACATGTCTCTGGTTTTGGAGTGGTGTGGGGTTTGGCATTTGTTTTGTTTTTCTCACTCCCCCAGTAGAGATGTTTGGCTTCAGAGTGCTGCACACCTCTGTGTTCCTAGAGGAATCCATCACTTTTTGACAATTCACCTGCAGGACGTAGTTTGGATGTGGTTTGAAGCCTGTGAACACTGACAGTGGATTTCTCTTGTTTGCAGCAGGGTGAAAACACTGGCCTGCCATTTCTGTGAGCCTTGTAACCCCTTTAAACCTCTTTGTTTTTTACAAAGACTTGCAGAAGGAGAGCAGATCCTGTCTGGTGGAGTGCTGAATAAACAGAAAAGCCATGATGACATTGTTATGGAGTTTGGTGACTCTGCATGCTTTACACTCTCCTTACTGGGCCATGTTTACTGGTAATGTTGCTTTTTTATTTTGTCTAATAAAGCTTGAGGGTTTTTTTATTTGAGCCCAATTTTAGTCAAGTATATTTTTAGTCACCACAGGGTACACGTGTCTCTGGGTTATATTTTGGGATATGATGGGTGCAGGTATATGGTTGTGGACACCATTTAACTTGGGAATGCAAGAGTGGTTGATCTTTCACCCAGTAATTCTGACTGAAAACACAAATTCCCCTTTTTCAGGTTGTTAATCATGCAATTCAATTGGGTTTGTTCTATATTCTTCCCTAAGAAGCTCTCAGGGCCGGTCACAGTGTTGCTATTATGGGTTTTTGTGTCTATAAAGCAGATGTGTGGCCAGTCAGAATAACTTCCCAAATTTCAACATATTGCTTTTGCCTAGATACAAGAAAGGCTTCAGAAAATGTGAACAGATTGAATGGGAATAGCAGAGTTCTTGGAGTCTTCCCTAGAGTACCTGTTCTCAGTTTATTTCCAAAGAAGCTGTCTTAGTAGCCAGATACTTAGATGTTCAATTTAGCCCCTAATTTCTATGCAAAATGATTATCCATAGATATTTAAAGTGGTTGGAGGGTTAGCAATCAGGCTACTGTTTGTGAAAACAAATACCTTAAAAAGCTGTTGCAGAGACCAGCATCTTCCTGAAACAAAAATCCTCAAGTTTATGTAACTCCTCTTTGAGATCCATGTCTGAGGAACCTTCATCCGTGTCTAAATATGTCAAATAACCTGAAAATAACTCAGTATTATTCAGTGGCTTGAAAAAATGAGGAATGTTGCTGTGACTCCCCACTTGCTTTTGCTTTTCAACTCCTCTTCTGGAAAGCTACCTTGGGCACAAAGTCTTTATTCTCAACTTTCCCTGTAAATATTCTTTTTGCAGCAAGACAGACCGGCTTGCCAAAGGATCAGAATGTTACCAAAAGAGCCTTAGTTTAAATCCTTTCCTCTGGTCCCCTTTTGAATCACTCTGTGAAATAGGTGAGTCTGCAGGGGTTTTACTAGTGAAGATCTTTTCTACCTTTCTGGTTATGTCAAGCTTTCTGATTTGCCATCACTGTGTGGAAAGGTTTCTTTTACTCCTTGTCCAGCTTTAGTAAGGAAAATGTGAGCAGAATTCTTTGGGAGTGGTTTTGGGAGTAATAATGCATTTTAAATACTTGGGTTTTAGAGGTTTTGTCTGATTTTTTAATATTTTTTTTGTCCATCTTCAATACTCACGTGTTCTGGGGTTTAACAATGCTGTTTTTCTCCAGCCTACAGCTAGTAGACCTTCAGAAACTGTGCTTCTGAGAACAACTTGAAGTCTGTTTTTTAATAAAACTGGTTGTCTGGGGTTTAGTTGTAGGTTTTCGTAATGTGAGGGGTTTTCAAACAATGAAATGAGAAAGCACCCGTTAAGTTACTTTGCCCCCTCTCCTTGTTTCAGCCTGAATATTCCATGTGTCCAATCATTTAATAACCATTTCAATCTTTTTCCTGTCTTACAGGTGAAAAACCAGACCCTGACCAAACATTTAAATTGACATCTTTACAGAACTTCAGCAGCTGTCTGCCCAACACTTGCACAACCTTGGTGTCCAACCACAACATATCTCACAGGCAGCCTGAGACTGTCCTGATGGAAACACCACAAGACACAATTGTGAGTTTGGCTAAAATCATTGCATTGAAAGCAATTTTTCCAGCTGAATTGAACAATGCTAATTAGGAGCTAAACTGGGAGTGGCTGACAACTGCCTTCCATTTTTCAGGAGCTGAACAGAATCAACCTAGAATCCTCCAACTCAAAATATTCCTCCTTGAACACGGATTCTTCTATGTCTTACATTGACTCAGCTGTCATTTCACCAGATGCTGTCCCTCTTGGGTCAGGAACTGCCATCTTGTCTAAACAGGCTCAAAATAAACCAAAAACTGGGAGGAGTTTACTGGGGGGACCTGCAGCTTTGAGCCCACTGACTCCAAGGTAAGGCCTGGAGATAGGCAATTCCTGTCTCCAACTGTGCTCTTGCTGCTGCTTTTGATTTGAAAGAGGGAAAATGTCTGGTGCTGCACAACATTACTCACATGTCTTAATATTATTTATACTATAATAAATAATGCTGCAGAAGCAAAAGCTAAAGAACTTCAATAACTTCTTTTGGTCCCATCTCTTCTGTTTTTTAAACATTTGGTAATTTTTATTAGAAGAGAGGAACTGTTGGTTCAGTGTTTTCTTTATTGTGATGCTTACACTGGAAGAATCTTTAAAGGAGTATGTTTCTGCTTTGAACTAACTTTTTAAGAGCATTACTTAAAAAACAGCTCTCTTGGAAAGAACTTGTAAATAAATGCTCTGTCTTAGATGCCATCTTAATTAAACAGTGTTATGTTACAAGTCATTAACACTTGGATGGTCTGTGTCTTTTGGTAGTTGTGCAGGGAAAAGATGATTAAGTATTTTTCAATTTCAGGAAAAATAATACTTTCTATTAAAGTGTCTTTTGTAGAGGAGGATAGTAAGATATTAGAGTTAACTTTATTTCAGAACTACTTCATTGGGTTAAGTTACCCTTCTGGGTCTGTTTTAACCAGGCCAGCTCTCATGCTTTAACATTCAGACCTTGACCCTTCCTCTTCTTTTTGTTCTCAGCTTTGGAATTTTGCCACTGGAAACTCCAAGCCCTGGGGATGGATCATATTTACAAAACTACACAAACTCTTCCACTGTAATTGATGTGCCATCCACAGGAGCTCCTTCAAAGAAGGTATCTTGGGGTTCTAGAATGTGATTGCTGATCTAGGAATTTGACACTGCAGTGAACTTTTAAGGAAGAATCCATCATCCTGAGCTGTGCTGACAGGGAGGAGAACCCCACTTATCCACTGCTGACAAAATTAGTTTGGAAAAACAAACAGTTTGTCTGAGTGTGGGATTGATTGCTGCCTCCTCTAGTTGTGAGAATGGTTTGGGTTAATGAAGTGAGAAATAAATTTGTCTCATTCATATTCAGAGTAATTTAAAACAACCTAACAACTTAGCCCTTAATAGCAACTATTTAATACAACAAAATAAAATTGTTCACGAGTTCAGGTGTATTTGTGTGAGGGCAAGGGCGTTTTAATGTAACTACTACAACTGGTTTGAGTGTTGCTGTGAGAAAACGTCTTTAGACTTTTCTGAAGTGCTAGTTAAGATTTCTGTTACATTGAAACAACTGTTTCTAAAGCCTGGAAGGGTTTTAATCCGTGAAGTTTTCAGCTAACCAAGTGAGGCAGCACTAAAAAAAAATAGACCATATCTCAAGGAAAGACATCTGTGTTGTAAATATTTTAGCTTATCATGCCACTTCCTTTGGCTAGCAAAACAGATTTGTTTGCTCAACTTCAGTGCTGATGAGCAACAGTCTTTTATTTCCAGTGAAAACAAGCCCTTGTTTCCCCACCCAAGATGCACAGGGATGTGCAGAGTGTTTAGCTGGTGTTGCTGGAGACAACCTGAGGAAGGTGCTGAACCTTCTATCCACCTGCCATCAGGGTGTGCAAACACTGATGCTTTTAAACAACAAATCATTCCTGACTTTTCAGTCTGCAAGGTGCAGTCTGAAGACAATCCAAACTTAGAGTTTTCACTTTACATTTTAAAAAATTAAGGTATTTTCAAGGGTGGCTGCAAATAATGCTGGAACTTCAAGTGAGCTGAAGCAGTTCTGGAATTCTAGTTTACAGCCCAAAATACTCAGAATCCTGCTGGTGTTCTGTGGAGGGCTGACTGAAAGAATGGTGCCATTTCACTCTTGTCTTGTGTAGAGGGAGCTAAAAATTGTCTTTTTTTACTCTGGAAGAAACTGCCATAGTTGCCATAGTGATAAATGAGAGGTGGAATGTTGATGACAGAAAGGAACAAATTGTTCTTAAACTCAAAACAAAAAAACATGAGGATTTTTTCCCTGTACTTTTAGTTAACCTAGGAGTTGCATGAAGGATGTTAGTGCTTTATAGGTGGCCAACTGTTTCATAAAGCTCAGAGCAAGTAATAATGTTGAATTTCTCCAAAAGTAGAACTTGAGTTTCCACATTTGATGCTCTGGACAAATCAGTGCTCAGCTGGCCTTGCCATTCTGAGAGTGAAATTTGGGAGCTGTTGAAAACTGTTTGTCTTATTGCCCTGATACATAGAAGAGTAAAAACCAGTGAGCAGATCTTTCTTTTTTCCCCTCTTTGGCCTGTGACTGGGAAGTCTGGGATCTTACTGCATGAGCTCTGATGGTGTCCTGCCTCTGGACATTATCTGGATGTCATCTGAACATTTCCTGCAACACTTTCTATCAGTTCTTAGTCCTTTTTGTTGGTGTTGGCTTGGTTCCGGTCTGTGCTGACACAGCCTGCTGCAAGTCTGCTCCCTGTGGCTGATACAATTCCCATCCTGTAGTTGCTCAGGACCATCCAGTTTTCCACCATCCTTTCCTTTTAAAAAAAGCTTCCACACTGAATGTCAGTGACCCTGCAGTGGGCAGAAGGACAGGGTGTCAAATTTCTTTAAAAAGCAGGGAGGGGAGGCCCTGATCTGGATCCTTGACAAGAGCTCTACACCCACCTCAGACAGATTTTCTATCTGAACTTGTTCTGGGGTCTCAGGTTCACAGTCAAGTTATCACAGCTTGAAGTTCTCACACTTCAGCTGTGCCAGGATAGGCATCCAAGTACACATTTTAGCTCTCAGAAAGCATGTGAAGATTTAAGACCATGTTGTGCTGCTAAGTCATGTTACAGGATGGTAACCTGTAGGTAAAAAGTGTTTGCA